AGGCAGCTATGTGTTGGTCAGTGCTCATCAGTGCTTTCCTCTCCCATAGTCCCTCTATCTTTTATTCAGTGGGGTCAGCTATTATGAACTAACCCCAAGGAGCCAGTTTTGATCTTGACCACTCAGATACATGATTCTGTCATCTTCAACTTCTGTCAGTCCCTTCCTTTGAACCCAGCTCCATCTCGTGAGCCAGAATAGGGATGCCCCCAAACAAATATTTATGGGTTATTAAGCAATCGAGGGCTGAAGCAACTCGAAGAATAACTTAGTCACACAGGAATCTTTTTCTATTTTCTCCCTAGTGCCAGCTATGTTAGCTTTCCTTCACAGTATTTGCTCACAGAACAGCCTCTCTTTGATCAGCTCTGACAGGAAATTCTTCCTCATATTGTGTAGAGATCCATTCTCCTTAAAGTTCTGTCCTCAGAGGCGCATTTGTCTCCTGGGACTTTTGCAAACACTCCGGCAGTTCTTTCCACTGCAACATTCTACTTTGAAATTTTCCAGTCAGCAGGGCTTGGAGACAGCTCCATTGGTAAATTGCTTGCTATGCAGGCATGAGGATCTGAGTTGAAACCCCAGCATCCAAACCAGGTGTGTGAGTAAGCCCAGGGCTGGGGATACAGAGCCAGGTGAATCCCTGGAGCTTCCGGGTCAGCCAGCCTAGGCTAAGGGGTGAGCTGCAGGTGCTCTGAAAGGCTGCCTTAAAAAGAAATGGTGGACAGCACCAAGGCAATGCCCAAGGCTGACTGCTGTCCAGATGCTCACACATGTACTTGCCAAAATACACACATGACAAATGTTCAAGTCTATAAAAGACACGAAATAATATAATTCACACGCAAATGCCTTTCTTCTATGCACAAATCACTAATATTCTCCTATGATACATCTGCTTCTTCATCTGCCCTTGTTTTTCTCCCATGAATTGTTTGAGAGTAGACTGTAAACATAAAACATGTCACCCCTGATACTCTGGCATCTGTCTACTGAGAATGGCATTCTTATTCTCTACCTAAACAAGCAAAGTTTACAAATAAAATTCCCACCTAAGTTTCCTTAGTTACCACTCCTCCAATTCCTTTCTTTAAAATTAGAGTTGTTTTAAGTTTATTTTTTGTGTGTACATGTGTGTTGTCTGTGTGTGGGGTATTTTTTAATCTCAGTTTTTAAAAATCAAATGCACATACCACATTTACCTGCTAATGTCTCTTTAATCAAGTGTGTGTGTGTGTGTGTGTGTGTGTGTGTGTGTGTGTGTGTGTGTGTGTGTGTGTGTATGTATGTATGTATGTATGTATGTATGTATGTATGTATGAGGCTGGCTTAGAACTCAGAATCTTCCTGTTTCTGCTTCCTGAGAGCTGAGGTTACAGGTGTCCACCACATCTGGCTCTTTTAGCTTTTTTGTTTTGTTTCGTTAAATGTAAAGTTTTCTCCCAGCCTCTTTGTGTTTTTCAAGACACTATACCCCAGAGCCCACTCTACCAACTAAGTACTGTGTGTAGCTGATTGCACCATTTGAAAACACCCTGTCAGGCTCTTGCTGGTGATGACAGATAAGGTGACCACTTGATGAAGGTGGTAACTTCCCCTTGTGCAACTAAAAACTCTTCTGTGGCCATACAAATCTTTTAAGGCCATACAAATAACAGCTCCCCAACAACTCTGCAGAAGTGGTAACTGTCACCGATGATCCTTGACCCAATCAACAACTCCATTGAAAACTGCAGAGTGATGGATTTCTTCTACTTGGATTTAAGAAATTCCAATATATTTTAATCCAGCCAGGCATAGTGGTACATGCTTTTAAACCCAGGAGTCAAGAGGCAGAGGCAGGAGGATCTCTGTTAGTTTAAGAGTAACCAGAGTTACATATTGAGACCCTGTTTCAAATATATTCATACATAAAATATATACATGCATATATTTAAAACCCATTATCTTATTTTTTAAACACTCAAAATCATTCCAAACTTGTTTGGTTATCCTCCGAAACCTACTGTGTGCGTGCATATGTGTGAAGAGGCCAGAAATCAACATCAGGTGTCTATTGATTGCTCCCATCTTATTTTTTGAGAAAGGGTCTCTCACTGACCCTGGAACTCAATGAATGGCTAATTTGGTTGATCAGCAAGCCCAGGGGCCCTCCTGTCTTTACTTTCCCAGTGCTGGGATGACAGGCCCATATTGCCATGCCTGGATTTTGTTTGTTTGTTTAAGCCAGGTGCTGGAAATCCAACTCAGGTCCTGGTGTTTGTGAAGCAAGTACCTTATTGATTGAGCCACCTCCCCAAAGCCCCCAGTTATGTATTTTTTATGACTCCTTCAGTTGGGCACTTCCTAGCTTTTCTAGAGGGAGTCAAGACTCCCAGACCTGAAATCAGCGATCCTTGCAACTTTTAGGACTACGCTACATAGGGTACAGCAACTATGAAGAACATTGCTTCTGGTCTCTTATGTGTCAGTCTCCAGGTTTTTGAAGCCAGATCCCATTTCTGTCCCAAACACCTACCAATTACATTGGTTACATGGTCTTTCCATGATTAAGCTGTGTTTCTCCTCTACCTGTCTCAAGTCAGTTGTTGCATCTGGGACCAGAGCGCCCCAGCTTGCCTATGCACCAGAAATACCAGATACCTTGATAACACAGTCTTCAAGGAACCACTCCAGACTCCTGAGTAAGCTCTCTGGGATGGGGAGTGAGATTCTACTTTGTTTTCTAAGCTGTCCATCTGATACCAATCTATCCACTCCATGGAATACCATGTTTTTTTTTAAAGGCCTGAGACCCAAAGCACTCAGGTTCTTCTCCTACCATATAATCCAACAGTGGAAATCTTTAGGGGATGTGGAAACAAGTACAAAGGTTCCAGTCATGGTAAATCTATGAAGAGCTAAATCTTCGTATTTTTTAAAAAGCATGGTGCTTAAAATCCTACTTCTCCTATCTTTTATACGTCACTTATGTTTTAGTATAAGGGTCTGTGTTACATTAAAATTTATACTGCTCAATTAATCCCAACCCCCAATTGCCAAGGGTCTCATGAATCTTGGTTTGTACTATTTGAACCATTTTTAAAATTCACTCTTCCAACTTTGTGGCATCATGGGCCAATGAGGTGGCTTAGCAAGTAAAGGAGCTTGCAGTCAAGCCTAAAGACCCAAGTTACTGGGAATCCACAGCGGAAGGAAAGAACTGATTCCCAGAAATTTTCTTCTGACCTGACAAGGACTGTGCCATGCAATAATCCAACTTTACATGATCCGTAGATAAAGTATGCTCTCAAAGTTCCCTTCGTTTTTTCTTCTTTTTTAACTTTGTATTTGAAAAAAAAAAAATCAAACTCAAGATGGCCTAGCATGTACAGTGCTTGCCACTAAGCCTGATAACCTGAGTTTGATCCAAAGAACACGGTAGGAGAGAAGTAACTCCTGCAAAGTTTACTCTGATCTCCATACCCATACCATACCATACCTACCCACACAATGCACACACACCACATGCATGCATACACACATGCACACACACGTACATACCCAACAATGGGCTCACACACATGCATATCCATCACACTCATATGCATGCACATCCACACACGGGTAGACCTACCATATTCACACCAGTCACATGCATACACACAGGCACACCCACCAAATGTACACTAGCCACATGCACACATACACACACTCACACTCATATATATCTATATATATCTATATATATAGCACATCCACACACATGCACACACACAAATATATAATAAGATAGTCAATTTTTATGTCTATCAAGACTTAGAACCAGTCACGTACAAAGAGTGAATTATAGTGTATACATTATACCTGAACAATAGCCAATATCATAGACACTCAGCTACGTACTGATTTGACTGACAACTGGGAATTCTGAGAGATTTATGTTCTGATTCAGTGAGCTCAATACAAGGTAGGATCTGACTCCTTAAAAAAGCATTAGGGCATAGTTTACCACTAGACCTAATAAATGTACTACTACTACTTTATCAATTTCCACAAAATAAAATGTAAAGAGTAGTGAAGTACAGAATGAGAAAGTAATAGTAGAAAAATTACAGTTTTCTAGAAATTGATTGAAAATATCAAACATAGCCTGCCAGTCTTGCCTAACAGAGAAAGAGACAAAGTCAGTTGTACTACCTTTTCAAGTTTGAGAGGATTTTTAGAAATACTCTTTGGTGCTGGTGAAGGTTGGTTTTTTATTTGTTTGTGTTTTTAATGCTTTATAATTATAAAAAAAAACTGTTGGGTGTGGTGGTACACAGCTTTAATCCCAGTACTAGGGAGGCAGAAGCAGGCAGACATCTGTGAGTTCAAGGCCAGCCTGATCTATAGATCAAGTTCCAGGAGAGTCAGGGCTGCATGGAGAAACCCTGACTCAAACAAAACAAAATAAAATTTTCTGGGGCAAATGGCTCATCAGGTAAAGGTACTTGCCATAGAATCCTGACAACCGGGTTCGATCCCTGAGACCCACATAAAGATGGAAGGAGGGACTCGGCTCCCCAGAGTTGTCCTCTAACCCATGCATGCTGCAGCATGTACCCCAACCCTGTAAGCATATATCATTCACACATACAATGATAACATTTAAAATACTTTCTGAGTTTCTATGTTGAGCCTGTGTTAATGTTGTAACTAGGAAAACAGCCACGTGTATTTTAAAATGTTGGTTAAAGGAGGAGAAGGAACTGAGCTGTAATAAAAGGAAGGGACTGAGAATATTTATGAAGCTGCATCTGCCCTGAAAGGAATCCTCAGAGTGAAACACTGTCCACGCACACAGTCACTTCACAGGGTTTTTCTGTTCAGAGAACAAACATTTCTCTTGGGAAGTTTCTCTGACTGCCATAACTGCATTCAATATAACAGTCTCCCTAAAAAGGACAGTTTCATTGCTTCCAAGTAGTTTTTCAAACAAGCAACTTTAAACAGAACCATGAAATACTGTAAACTCATACCTTGAAGAACGATGCTCTGGCTTACGTCGCTCGTTGTGATCTGTAAGAAAGAAGACAGTCACATGTCAGCACAGGCATTAAACAAACTGGATAATCCAGCTGCCACACCACTGGTCTCACAAAGGACCGTTCAGGGCAGCTGTGTTTTTTCCAGTGCTCTTCATTGGAGTTGAGATGATCTGTCTGACATGGACGCCAAAAGCACGCAACATAGGACACATAAAACTTTTTGATGGTTTGTTAAAATCAACTACTTGGAAAATATCATCGCCACGTGTCAGTTTTTCATTTTAGAAGATTTTTTGCTGTATTAAAGGCTTTGCTGAAAAAAAAAAAAAAACTTAGCTAAAGAAAGTAAAGAAACTGAAAAGCCACAGATTACTCAGCTCCAAAAAATCATTCCATGAATCACGGTTGGCAGGAGTTTCTAACAGAATGGGAGGGAGCAAAATGAGCAGCTGGCAACATCTGCAAATACACCAAGACCAGCCTTAACTCTCTCCCATCCAGAACATTCAAGAACGTTCTATGGATAATTAGCTATAAGGTGGTTCATGTAAATGTTCCAGTTGTCACAACAGAGAAGGATGGAGCTCTACAGATGAGAGAGCAGAGATGCTGGTAACTGTCCAAAAGTGACAGGGCAACACCCTGAAGATGTCAACTGTGCTCCGAGAGAGAAAGGCAGCTGTGTGTAAGAGTTTAGGGGCCCGATTTTTCTCAACAGTGATTTCCTACACTGTTACAAAAAAAAACACCTAATGAACGGAAGCCACAAAACACCCACGTTGCTCATTTGAGTCCAAGCAGCAATTGTTCCTTGGTAAATGCTTCAGAATAAGAAAGGAGACTGAAGAAAGCCTCGGTGTTATGCAAACGCTGAAAGAAACAAACCACAGCACAGTCCCACCCGACTTTAATAGGAACCCCAAAGGAATACTATCAAAACACACTTTTCTGTAACATCATCTGAATCAATGCTAACAAGGTAGAATTAAAAACAAAGCAAAGACTAGACAATAACCCCCACCCCCAATTTCATTGCTGGTGGAGAAAGAGAGAGAGCATGGTAAGTCTGGACCCTAAGAAGAAAGGGGAGGAAAGGAAGAAGACACACTAAGGTGCATTGAGTTTATAATAAGAAATGATTTAGTGTGTGTGTGTGTGTGTGTGTGTGTGTGTGTGTGTCTGTGTGTGTAACTTTCACAGGCATCAATCAGTTCTCTCCCTCCACTGTGGGTTCCAGGGACTAGACTCAACAGTCTTGCATAACAAAAACTCTCACCCGCAGCAGCACTTTTACCCACTGAGCCATCTCACCCTCCCAAGAAATGCCCTTTTAAGCCAAAGAATTAGTATACACTATACACTAAGACACTGTTTTCTGAACGAGTAGGAAGTAGACTGGTGTTAAAACAGGACTGTTTAGATGTCCTGCCCTCTACGTGTACAAAGCTAATGTTTCTGGTTCTAATTTCTCCACACTGAATGTTACTGTACCTTTAAAAACTATCTTAATTTACTCATTTCTCTCCCTCCTTAAGCAAAAGCAACAGCAGACTTTCCACTTGTTGAGTATTAAAGTCATAGTAATACTTGGTATATTTTAGCTTGCTTGTTTTATTAACAAAGGTAAAGCCAGAAGCTTGATAGAAACAGTTGTTCTCTTCAAGCAGCAGCTCTTACCTGTGGCTAGCAATGAGCTGAAACTCTGCCCCAGATGTGGCTGCTCCAGTGGTGGATCCTGGTTTCAGGCAGTTTGTTTATCTGGGCATGTGCTAGCATGCTCCCTCACTAATCTTCCCAGTGGCACAGCACACAGGAGGAGGGAGAAACAGAGTCACGAGTGAGCACGTAAACAAGCCTCAGCATCCAAGGGCTTCCCTACAGGGCCCTTCCTGATTGGCAGATGTGCTATGACTAGTCTGCACATCTGGAATGTGGCCACTCAGGAAGCAGAGGGCTCACAACTCTCCTCCATTCTTGGTTCAAACAGGAAATCTTATGGTCATTTCGGTACTTTCTGCTCTAAGAAAACACAAATGCCTTCCTTCCCGCAGTAGTACACTGGTAAATAAAATCCAAGAAAACGACCTGATTAACTGTTAGGCATTTAAACATTTCCCACAAGTTTGCTTCGCGCTACGGATCAGATTCCTATGTGAATACATATGCAGTGTTTATAATGTGTTACTCCTAGGAACACTGTGATGATTTGAGGATAAAGGTAAGTTATCCATTGCTTACAATATCCCCAGACTCTCAACTTTCAACAACAGGAACAAACTGAGACACATGCCCTCACCTTGATCTTTTCCCCCAAAGAATACAGATAAACTCACTTCATATTTGGTGGTCATGTCAGCTTTTAGCTAAATGCATATAAATATGTGGAATGTATGTGGGTGTTGTCTGTGTCATATGTTTATATTTTTCAAATATCCTTATAGTTTATGCACTTCTATTTTAAGCAAAGCAATTTTCACAACAGGGAAGAATATTGTGCAACTGTCAAGAAATATATTGTGATTATTTTGGTCCAAAAACCAAGACTGAACAAAACAAACCACCAAGAGCAGAGACACGCTCTACTTTCTTGCCAACAGAAAAAACAAAAAACAACCCCAAACAGTTGGATAAAACCTTAAGAAGAACATGAACAGACTGACAGCACACATAGACATTTTATCTTGGCCATACACATGCTTAAAGGGTATGAGTTTCATTTAGTTCAAATCAAATGCTTTCTAATATGTTCTCCTTTTCTTTAAAAAACCCTCTCTAAATTTTAAATAATCAGAAAAGAATGTGTGTGTAGAATGAAGGTTTCTGGACTTACGCATATTGGCAATGATATGAATAACTACCAGCTCAAAGGCTTACCATTGAAGAGTCGCTAAAAACAAAAAAGTCCCAAATATTTATCTGTCAGATACTGCATACCACAGAATGCACCTCAGAATTAAACCTCAGAACGCACCAAGAAAAGCGTGATGGTTAAGGTCATGTAAAGGCTAAAAGTGTCCTCTGTGTTACGGTCCACATGGTTGGATTTGGTAGCTATATTGCATAACTACACAAAGCCTGCTGGGTTTGTAGCCACACTGTTTCAGAGGGTGAGGCCCTGACCATCATGGAGCATGTCAGTGGGCAGACAGACATGGTCCTGGGGCAGTAGCTGAGAGCTTACTTCCTGATCCACAAGGAAGAGGCAAAGAGAGCTAACTGGGAATGTGGTGACTTTTGAAACCTGGAAGCTCACCTCCAGTGATACACCTCCTCCAACAAGGCTACCACACCTAATCCTTTCCAAACAGTTCTGCCAACTGGAGACAAAGTATTCAAATATATGCACCTCTGGAGGCCATTCTCATCTAAACTACCACCACATGTGATCCAATGTTTATGTATTTGCCGCACACCATTTGGGCCCCCTCTGACCAGGGCAGCTTTGGGGGATTGACCGCACAGACCCTATCATTCAGGGTGACTCTGAACTGAATCTAACCAAGAAGACAAACACTTTGAAATGAAGACGACAAGAATGCAAATGTCATCTTTTTCCTTGGTTAAAACTTAAAAAGAATGGCCAATGTAGAACTTGCCAGAATCTGCTGTAAGATATTCAGGCTTTGATGATTTGACTTTGATCACATAACTGGAAAGAAAAATCAAACCTCATTGAGTAGAGACTGGAACTGAAGTCAGAAGTGAAAGGCCTTACATTGTTCTTTGACATTAGGGGGAAAACTTAATCTCCAGAATGAACACAGGATAAACTCACAGCAGAGTGGAAATCTCTTCCACACTGCACACTGGAGTGTCAAAATGTCTCTATGATGGGAAAAAATCTTAAAGAGATTCTGTATCATGCTCCTAAGCATTACCATCAAGTTCTAGCATAGGTGTTTGTATATGTTGGTTCAGGGGTCCTCAACCAGTGGGTTGAAACCCTTTGGGGTTTAATCAACCATTTCACAAGGGCCACCTAAGACCATCAAAACACACAGACATTTACATTATTAATCACGACAGTGGCAAAATTACAGCTATGGAGTAGCAATGAAAATAATTTTATGGTTAGGGGTCACCACAACATGAGGAACTGTATTAAAGGGTTGCAACACTGAGAAGGTTGAGACGCACTGGTTTAAATTTTATTTGTGTGTGCGTGTGGTGTATGTGTGTGATGTGGTATCTCTTTCTCTCTCTCTCTCTCTCTCTCTCTCTCTCTCTCTCTCTGTGTGTGTGTGTGTGTGTGTGTGTGTCTGTCTGTCTGTCTATTTTAAGACAGGGTCTTCCCATACAGCTTTGGCTGGTTTGTAACTCTCTGTATAGACCATACTAGCCAAGAACTCAGATCTGTCTGTCTCTGCCTCCCATGTTCACCACCATGCCTAGTAGTTATTTGTTTTTGTTTTAAGTCTTACTACGATGCCTACACCTGTCTCAAATGATACCTTGGCCTCTCTAGTAGGGAGGATTAACAGACATGCACTAGCCTCCACATTCAGTTTATTCTGTTATTTCAAAAACACGGATCAATTCCATACAAATCCTTTAATCATTTAATATTAATGTAGGGGAACATATATATGAAAAAGGGTTACCACATGCTATTAAGGTTGCAATAGACCACCCATACACTGGTGGTCCCAAATGATTTAATGGAGCAAAGAGCTCCTGTCACTTTGAGACACTATGCCTCTCATACCATCACAGTGCAACACATTTGTAGGATTCTGCATAAACAAACCCAATGTGCTGTCACTCATGAAAGTGTAGCATATGCAATTAGGTAGGACACATAATAATGACTGTGTTGATGGTTTATGTATTTATTGTGCTATATTTTTAATCATTATTTTAGGGTGTGTTCCTTCTCTGTAATACAAATTTACTATAGAACAGCACATGGCAACCTCATTCATCTTGCATCTATCGAATTTCTTGACTGCATCTAGGGGTTTCACTTAGTAACTGATCTCCACCACCTGGCCTTGTGGCAGTCACTCAGTGATGTGCACATGACCAAGAAACTGCCGGGTGACACATTTTTCATACACATTATATCCCCATCATTAGCTACCCAAGGGGATATTTGCCCAACAATGCTACTGCTTTTTATTTACGATAAGCAGCTTAAACAAAACAATGAACCCATACATTATATGACGGAACAAAAACATTCAGGGCTCATGAGTCCTTGATGACACTTTAAAAGATAGCAAACTGATTCAACAAAGATAGAACGTGGGTAGAATTTTACATGTTATATAGAGTTTCACAGGCTTTTCTAAAACTTAAAACAAATGA